ATACAATGGACTCATTTTTCTGAATAAGGCATTTTCGTGTGTTATAATTGGTTTTCACTTGATCATATGTATTTTCGATATCATTAACTTGTCACTAGTGTAAAAGCCAACTAACTGTTGTTTTTATATCCACTTATCTGATGAAGACATAGGTGTCACAGATAGAATAACTGTTTTGAATTAAGCTAATGAAAAAGCTAAATACTCATTACTTACTACCTCATTACACTGCATATTTAATATTCTTTGTATGGTTGAACAAAGTAGATTTACACTTTGATTTGACACTAGTGTGATTAGTGTAGTGTATCTAGTCCTTACTTCAGTGCAGAGTGAAGTCCATCAGTCAAGTTCGCAATGTGGCCACCATTCTAGGTGGCTCGCCGACACAGTGCACTGTGAATTGCTGATATTAGACGGTTGGAGGCAATTAACAATAGGCTCTGAAACTATGTTTCGTGCTAGTTGGCACTCGCCAGACAGTAAGGCGTATCTGAAACCTTGAAGGACCTCATTTCCCTTCTGGTATTGGAACAAGGTATCTAATACTGTCCTAAAGGAGGTCAATCGCGAGCCCGAATAGCGCAGTGGCAACGTCTCTGACTGAAGCATTGGGTGACACTGGTTCGGATATCAAAAGGGACATGAGTTCCTTCAAGGTTGCAGGTAATTCTTATTGACTGGGGAGTGCCAACCAGCACGAAACCTTGGTCAGGCTGGGCTTCCTGCAGATCACCTCCAACCATCTAATATCAAAATAGATTTATACTTCAATCATAAAGTAAAAAAAGTAAAAGTTTCTCCAAGAACTGTATATCTGGCAAATAACTGGTTCGGTCCATCTGCAGTGATATGGCCTGTTTAGCTTCACTGTTTCACCTTTACAACTGATGAGCTGGGCCTCAGTAGAGAGAAGTATCTTACTTATGTTTAGATCAGCTCAGTTTAGCTGACAAATACTACCACTTGGCGTGAATGGTTTTATTAAATAACATTAATTGGTAATATGTATCTGTCTGAATAACTGTGGCTCTGGATGCTGATACTGGATTTTAAATGTTGAAATAGATAGACAATCATAATTTTCAAGTATTGGTTTACAGGGATTTGATTGATTAGTTACAGAATTTCATCATGAGCTGACATCAGTTAGGGGACCATTGGAAAACCTGCAGGGAGTACTGGACAGATATTTCGTCACTCCAGTTTGGGACTCTTCATCAGTACGCACCCGCCTCCATGATTTGAACCCAGGACCTTCTGGTTACAAGGCACTCTTCCAATTTTACCACGGACCCAAAATGTTGTCCATAAAAAATCCTTTAAGTTCAGAAAATTCATGAAGGACTATGAACAAGTGTTTAGTGGCACAATCACTTTTCAAAGCATGATATGAGTGTTAAATCTTTTTTCCTTGAGAAACTATCAAACACAAACATATTAACGGTGAAAAAGTTCTCATATTGGGAAAAAACCTAAAAGATATTTTATTGTATGAAGGAATTATGTCAAACTGTCTTCAGATATGAGATCTTTGAGAAATTTGTATGACAACTTTGAAAAGTGAATGTACGTACATTTTTGAACATGTTTCATGATAAATTACAATGGAGGTGTGTCAGCTAATTGAATCATTGATAATAAAATGATGTATATTCCCCGTCATTAGATATATGCATTGCCACGAGTGATGATAAGACATGAATTTTGATCATGAAATAAGTTGAACAGTAGTTTTCTACAACAGATAGTGTAGCTTCATGTTGTTTCACGCTTATGACTTGCTCTGTTATTAACAACATAATTTTAGGCTCTCTTATTTCTCTCTTATTTTGTATTCCATAGTGAACTCCTTCTCAAACATAATTAGCTACCTAAAATATTAACATTGGCTTCCTTTTTTGTACTTCACTACATTCCTTCTATTGTGTATCCACTGGTTCCGACTCTATTAGCACTATGAGTATTACAAAATTGTCGTGTCATTAACCATCATGTAATTATTAGTTTTGTGGTTGCTTTTCTTATTTTCTATACTTTTCGGCAATATTAAACTGACAATCATTGGTTGTGAACGCCATAGTCACCACCTTAAAAAATTTTGTATTATTCAGGATCACTCACACTACCACCACAAACACTGCATTACACTTTGGTAAACTTTTGTACTTTTTCGCATTCATAATTATTTTGTGTTTATCCTGTTTTTTTCTTTGTTTTTTGCTGTCGGTGTCCTCAGATTTTTGTTTGTTTGTTTAATACTCATTTTAAATGTCTGTAAAATTGGGTGCAAATATTGTAGATATGTGCTGAAAATTCCACACTGTACCACTAGTACTGTTTCTGGAATAAAGCAAATTATTATTATTATTATTACGGTTATTCGTAGACTGTGAAAGTCATATGTAGGGCATTTTGAACCATCTAAACACAGCAGAGATCCATACATTTCGATCACTAAATGACCAATGTCTATTGCTAAGTTTCGATACGGTTTATCAGTAAAATGATATACGATTGAAACACAAATTGAGTACAGTATGCTTACCAGTTGAGGGTGTATAATTATACTGGTCAACATTTATTGATGAATCAACTTGTTAAAACAGTTAATCTCTCCCATAAATTAAATAGGGCATTTAGAAGGTTAATATCACTACATGATGTCATTTCATAGTTTCACAATAGCAGGTGGATTGATAAACGCACATAGAGTTGGTCAACAGCGGCATCTTGTCCTTCAGGTTATTGAATAGTAATGGTCGACTGATAAAAGCTATTCTCAAAGATGCAGCAGGGAATGTTCGTTTCAGGGACTGTGATATCCCGCTGTTGACCAACTCTGTGTGCGTTTTAATATGTGTTAAACTTGGGGACTGTGGTAGTAAGTAGTTCCATATTGGTTTGTTAGATGTATCACACATAATTGATATGATTATGAACAATAAATTTTGTTCAAATCGTCATCCAGTAAATAGTAATACTGTTTCACTGTGTGATACATCTAATAAACAAACCAATATGGAATCTATGTGCGTTTATCAATTCACCTGCTCGTGTGGAGCTAGATATTTGGGTAGTTCTACTCCAGTTTTGTCCAAGAGGGTGGAAGAACACTATCCTGCATGGTTATGAAGAGGTGGAAGTGGAGCAATAAGAAGCGCGATCATTTCATAGTTTCTCCACAACCTCACTTCGGGTTAGATGTTTCAAGTGGTTATTAAGTCACAAGAAATCCAAATGTACCGAATCTGAATATAAAAAGTTCTACATCACGAAACACTGATTAATGTCTTGTCACGAAATTATTATTGGTGACTGTTTCTCATTTATTTCACATCAGTTTATTTCAATGATTATTAAAAGTGTTGATAGCGTTTTAGATTAATCACATACATGAGGAACTATGAATAGAGAAAACAATAGACTTCAACTATTGTCCACCCTGGACTAATTGACATAATATAAGATGACTGGTTATTAATATGCACTTTTATATTTCATAAAACGGATTAATTAGGTGTCAGTCATTTTATTTTTATTATTGTCAACCATGCTAGTTGTGACGTGATTCCAGTGGAACTACAAAGTGTGATACCATCATCTCACAGTATTTGTCTACTGAATATCTTTGATAAACCAGCTTATATGGATTAATCTTACAAGTATTAGTCACAATTTATGTACGTTAGTGATAAGATCTGTGATTTTGTACTGGATGACATTAATTTGAATCTTATGAGGCATTTGAATTTTTCTAAATGCTGCATAAATACCTTGCTGATTACTGTCAACAAGAATAAAATCTGGTTGTTGAATTCAAATGCCTAACTTTAGAGCTTGGAATATGTACTGGGCCGGACATGTTAAACCATGCCTAGAGCACACCTCATCAAATATTAGAAACAATTGCAACTATTAGATATTGTTCTGTTTAATTCACTTAGTTGCAGGAAAACATCTGGCCGCTATACCTTCCTCATAATAAAGACTTTCCCAGAAAGTAGCAGAAAGGGTAATCAGCCCCTTCTTTACCACTTTCGTCATTTATGACAAACAAAATTATTATTATCATTGTCCCCTTGGGTTCCTAGTGGAACATAGGGCTTCAACTCCACGTTTCAACTTGCTTCTATCTTCTGCTGTATTTTTCACCTGCATCCATGTTATTCCATACTGTTTCAGTTCCTCTTCACACGATCTCCTCCATGTCACCCTTGCACCGACGTCCCACTCACCGCTTCATTTTCGGGTTCCACTCAAGCACTGGCCTGACGCGCGATGTCATCCAGCGGCCTTCTCAGCGAGTGTCCAATCCATCTCCACTTTCTCCTGCATATTCGTTGAGCGATTGGTTCTTGTTTTGTTTGTTCCCATAGTTTCTTGTTTGTGATTCTTTTCGGCCATCTGATCTCGAGTATAGATCGAAGACAGTAGTTGATAAAGGTCTGCAACCTGTTGGAAATATTATTTGTCACCCGCCAAGTTTCTGATCTGCATAGAAGAACTGGCTTTACGTTGTATTGAAAATACTCAGTACAAATTCTTAATGAAGGAGATATTGATCACACACACACTGAAAGCTCCTGAAACTGTGCGTCGGTGGCATAGCAGTAGAATGCTGGCCGACCACGTATGTGGTCTGGGCCTCAATTCCCGGCCAGCGCACTCCCTTACCTCGCCAAGCCAGTAATAAGGCTGGTAAGGAGGGAAGGCTGGGCGTGAGACTGCTACTGAAGTTTCAAAGCTCTAGCTTGAAGCCCTATGTTCCACTAGGAACGTGAAGGAATAAAAAGAAAATATCAAACCTGTGGAATAAAGCATCTTATGCGTTGTTATCAATGCTTATCGTGAGGTTCAGATAAGCAAGTCGAATTCTCAGCTAGAATCGTTTTAATACATTTCAGTCAATGAGTTTTATTTGAATGAGAATCAATTTTCAGATCATATTTCTGCCTAAAAAATATAATAATCTTTATTTATTTTCCTGTTCTCTTTAGATGTTGTATATATCAAATGCCAGTCAGATCATTTATCATCTTCCAGTCTGATACAGCTACATCCAGAAAGTCAATCAGTTACACTGAATAGTACAGTCCGTTTACAATGTCGTGTAAGAATGTTGACAGATCCAGACACTGGAACTGGAGTTCAAGTTTACTGGTCTAAAAATGATTTCGGTATTGGTGGTAATCGTGAAGATATTCAAGAATATGGACGTAATTCACGATATGAATACTCTAGATATGATCTACCATACAATCTCAAAGAGGGTAGGTCTTTTAATAATACTAGTATTTATAAAATTAAATATTCTAAATATTAACAAGTGGAGAGATAAAATAAACGTATCAAAAAGCATTTATTTGATAACTGTTAAATTTTTGACAGGATTCTCGTCAATTATTTCTGAAACAGAACCTTCAGAACGCTTATTTCTCACATCAAAGAAATGAGCAAATCTAAAAGTCCATCGATTCACCTGAGAAGTTTTTTATTTCTCATATTCAGTTAATTTGATAACCATAGAAAGGATAATTTTTTAAATGAGTATTGGGTTAATGAGTAGTTAAACAGACTTTTTATGTGTCAGATGATATAAAGTGATAGGTAGGGAAATAAGTACGTAGTAAGTTATTGTTTTATGTGTTAGCACATCAGCATTATAGTTCCTCAATGTTCTTTTTTATGTCTTCCTACCACTCACTTATGTTAACCCTCATTTTTGACGAGTTGACAAGCCTGCCGTTCCCACAGTTGTATTCTTAGCTCTTGATTTGCAGCCATACAGTCTCTCGTTTCAGCTGTGGCTCACTTAATGGTGTCTAGGCTGACAATATGTTTATTTAGAAGAGAAAAAAATTGAGCAAAGAAAATCCCTTTGGATAACTTCCTCATTAATTTCTACAGTTATGCATATATAATATTTGAAGAGTAACCGCAATCGATAACGCCAATATTTTTAAAATAAGATCGAGTCCTTGATATCAATAGATTACTGTACAGAAGTATGTGTAAGTTAAATGTCACCTAAACTTAAGAAGAAAATTTAGTCATGTCCCCTGAGCTGGTTAATTTAATTGAGAAGATTTCGTCGTCCTCCTAGACAACATCGCTTCAGCGCAGGTTTTAATATAAAGTGAATCTATCTGAATTCTCCATGACTCGTGATATAATTGTATCTCCTGGCAACTATTATCGTAACATCTCTAATGATCATTTTTATTGACTTGAAATTTGAACTCTCTTGTTATTCTTTTATTCTTTATTAGCTGGTAAATTTGGTCTATAGTAATGTGTTTGCTAATTGCTGATCCATTTGGGTACCAGGCCCCTAGAAATTCCCTTGTAGCGATTTTGTGTTTCCTCTATTTTAAAATATCCACATTTTCCCAATCAAATCGGTATGCTATGACATTCAATCTAGCGCAATCACTTCATTCGATATTGTGCAAACCAAAAGATCCAACAGAAAAAGAAGATAAAATTAATACCATTCACAAAATAAACCGCAAGTATGAACTGCAATAAACATTACATCGGTCAAAGTGGGTGTCACCTTCGAATCCGAATTCTAGAACAAAAAGTGGCTGTTAAAAGGCATGATGTATATTCTTTCGTATCAATGCATGTGGATAATTATGCACACCAATTTGATTGGGATAATATAGAAATTTTATATAGAAGAAACACCAAAAATACTGTCAGGGAATTTCTAGAAGCCTGGGTATCAAGTGGATTAACAATTAACAAACACATTATCATAGACCAAATTCACCAACTAATAAAGAACAAATCGCATGACAAGAAAGTTCAAATTTCAATTCAATAAAAAATGATCAGTACAGATGTAAATCGACTACCAGTTACGAGGATGGTTGTCAGGAGATACAATTATATCTTGAGTCATGGAGAATTCAAATAAATTCATTTTTTCATTAAAACCTGCGCTGAAGCGATGTTGTCTAGGAGGACGACGAAATCTTCGCAATTAAATCAACCAGCTCAGAGGACACGACTAAATCAAAATCATCCACCTGAGCTACAAATCCTCTCCACTATTTCAAATAGGGTAGAGTAATAAAGTAGGTAAAACAGTGATAGAGTGTAGAAGGTTTAAAGGGAAGTGGAAATTGTCAGGCTTATACATTCAAGTAACTACGTCAAAGGCAAGAAAAGTGGCTGAATGAATTTCTTCTGAACAAAAAGGTTCGGCTTCTTCACGTGGATTCCTATGGCTTCAGCTACATTTCAAAGGTGAACGTGTAAGGGGATATTGAGTTTAGTCAGAATATTATAGATAACTATAAATCCCTTGTTAACATCGACTTTTGACTTAGTTTTCTTCTCTGAGCTGGGTTGTTTAAATGCAAAACTTTCCCCGTCCTTCTATATAACATTTTCAGCGCAGATTTTAGTATCTATAAGGTGTGGAAAAACAGAATTACGAATATACCTTGTTTATAGCTTGCTTAACTATGCAGGTCAATATTCAGAAATCCTATGATGAACATGTCTAATTATACATCCAAGCTAAGTAGCTCCACAAGAGCAGTCAAACTGGTAAATACACGTAGAGGAGGTATAATCAGGTAGTTTATCCTTATTTCTCTAGCGTGAAGCTCAAGTGATTCTGAAGAGGGAGAGTGTACCTCTACTGCACTGAATGCTCTGCTTACTGAATTCTGTACTTCACTACACCACCAAAAAGCCGCAGTTTTAATAAAAAAAGCTTCTTTGGAGCTCTAGACATACTAGCCCACCTTGACGATAAATTCGTATTTTTACTTTTAAGGATCCAAGAATCAAAGCCACTATGTTATCCTTCTGCGACCCAATTAAATAATAGGCATGCTGGATTCAAATGTCTTACAGAAAAGTTTATAAATAAATCAGCATATGTCAAGATCACTAGTTTGTTGACTGAGGTGCACACATAGTCGATAAAATCTGATCAAAATTTAGAGTTAAACAGCACAGTATTAGTGTCTAGGAGTAATCAGAGATATCCGTAGTGATTTTTCTCCCACAATGAAATCTACACTTTCAAAAAAAGATGAAGTTTTTTAAGTTCTAAAACTATATTCTTATTTTGAAAATCTTTATTCAGCTATCCTCACAACAACTAGGTAAGATAAGTAAGGCAATTGTGTAATGTGATATTATTGTATTACTGTTTATTATGCTTACTTGTTCAGAGGATTAATTGGTTTAAAAAAGTGATTACATTACAAGGACCCAGTGTGTCGGTGGCTTAGTGGTAGAATGCTCGCCAACCACTCATTTGGTTCGGGGTTCGATCTCCGGCCGGCGCTGGTAATAAGACCGATAAAGAGGAAAGGTTGGGCATGAGGCTAGCAACCCCATCCCGTAAAAAACAAACACCATTGCTACCAAAGCTTCCTATGTCCCACTAGGAACGCAGAGGAATAAAATAAAATTGCAAGTACTCACACACTCACAGTTTTGAGTTTTAAATTTTAAACTCTGATTTGTATGATAAACTTCTCAGTTATTCAACATTAGTGTTATTCTCATGTACTATTATTAGGGAAAAAGAAATCAGTTTTGTGTTTTTTTTGTACACACTTCTATTATCTAGTTTCTTTTTCCCTACAAGATAATACAGAATACAGGAAATGTATATAGGAAGTGTATTCATTAATTGTTTTTAATTTTGTTATCTCACTGTATACACCTTTGTACTCATTACACACATAATTACCTTTTTTAATTACTCTGTTTTTCTCAAATGCAATTATACTGTATAAATGTTATTATTGTAAATGCGACAGATGGAATATTTAACACTATTTAATCTTGTATTTGGGGTACCTAACCTGTCATATGCTCTGATAGTGTTCTCATGACTTTTGTTGCCAGATCTGCCAAGGGCGATGGGATAGTACGCGACCTAATGGTTGTGTGCAAAATTTGAAGAAGGCTGTGTGCTATATGCATGAGCCTCACCCTGATAATGTTTGCGTCGGTGGCACAGAGGAAGAATGCTCGCCAACCACTCATGTGGTCCGGGGTTCAATCCCCGACCGACGCACTCCTTTACCTCGCTAAGCCAGTAATAAAAAAAGCTGGTAAAGAGGAGAGGTTGGGCATGAGGCTAGCAACCCCATCCTGTGAAAATAAACACTGCCACAGAAACTTCAAGCCCCTAGCTTGAAGCCCTATGTTCCACTGGGAACTTCTAAAGATAGCGGAGGCCTTAGCCATTCATGAATTTAAGCCGAGACCCTTGCGTACAAAAGAAGTATGTACAATCCCTACTTCTGCCTTAGCCGTAGAGGGATAGACATTTAATTATTTACTTATTTTGTTTAATTAGTTACTAAATGTACCTTTCCCTTATTACTACGATTATTATTACCATTACTATTCTGAGTCTGAATTGTTCCCATTTGTCATTCTAAATCCAAATTTTTCTTACGATATTGAATCCTACCTTATCAAATTTCACACCACATTATGTAACATTTTATATTCGTCTACTAATCCTATTATTATGCACCCCTTTCCAACATCTATACACCTTATGTATTATTCTATATACGACATTAATTGTTTTGCTACTTGACATTTTTACTATGATTATAATCACAAATATTTTAATTGCATTTCATACTACTATTATTATTCCATGTATTCACACCTCTGATTCACTTCCCTCACCGATATGATTTCTTTAAAAAAAACCTCATACATTCGATTGCACAGCTTGATAATAAATTCGTTGAAAACAGTCTCTTCTCTGAATATTGTGTTCTTAATGCCATAATGGGAATTATTAAATTACAGATAGTGTCTGTAATTCCTAAAGCAGAATACTTCAGCACAATATCCTCATGAAGTTGAACTCTCAATTTTGACTGACTTTACGTCGAATGCCCTACCCATAAGGCCTATATTTGGAAGAACGACAATGTTTATGCATTGAATAACTTACACGTTAATATGTATCACGAATTCTACTGTAAATTGTTTTTATCCGAAGTCCAATATCATAGAAGTTAATGTAATTTCGGCTATTAATCCTGCATCCTGCAACAAATTTTACTATTGAGAAAGAAAAAGACTCTAGTATTTCATTTCTAGACGTCCTTATGACCAGAAAAGAGGATGGCACAATAAGAAGAAATGTTTATAGAAAACCTACATCAACGGGCCAGTACACACATTTTCTCAGCCTTGTGCCCTTGAAATACAAACGCAATCTGATAAAGTGCTTGGTCCACAGAGCAAGAGAGATTTGCTCGGACGA